CCCCTCCCGCAACAGTCGGGGGCCTGGGGAGGTCACTGCGTGCCGACCCCCAGCCCCTGCGACCCCGCTGCCTGTCCTGAGCAGGGGCTGGAGCCCACTCCGTCCTGGTTGATTATTAAAGGAGCTGTGGCCTCCCCCACCTGCCCCGCAGGCCCCCTTCCTGCAGGAACCCAGTGAGACCCCAAATCCCACTCGTTTAGGGTGGCGTCGGCGTGGGCTCCCATCCGGGAAGGAAGCCGGGGCCTTGCACACGCCAGACAGGCGCTGTACCCCGGAGCTGCACCGCGGCCCCCACCCCGGACGTCGGTCGGCTGCTGTGGGCGCCTCAGGGCAGCCGGTTACTGCGTGGGGCTGAGCCTCCGCCCGTGGACACGTGCAGGTCCGGGAAGAGGAGGGAGGAGCTGAGTTCGAGGGACAGCCTAGGACAGACAGACAGACGCGCGGATACCGGCCTGAAGGGCGGCGTCCTAGCTGGAGCTCATTCTTTGCTGAAACCAAAGTCACAAGGAGAGCTGAGCCTGAGTGAGTGGCAGGCATCCAGTGGTCCCAGACCTTTTAATGTTGTGTTTTCACACAGGGCCTTGCTAAGTCAGGAAGTAGCCCAGGCTGGGCTGGAAGTAACAGCAGTCCTCCTTCATCAGCCTCCCAGTGCTGGCGCGGCAGGTGCGCGCCCGGTTTTGTTCAGCGGGTGCCCAGCAGAGGGCCTCTCCCCAGCTAATCCAGAGAGCTGTCTGTTCGCGTCACACTTGCTCATTTAAATGGAGATTAATTGCTCTTCCGGAGGATTTCTTTTAAAATTGGTTTTAAATGAGTGCATTAGGCAGCGCCATTTATTATTCATGGGTTCCAGTCCCGATGTGGTCTGGGTGTCCGAGTTCCCGAGAGACAGGTGGGGATGATTTAATCAGGGACGCCGTTAATTAGAGACGGGAGGGTGGTTGCCCGCCCATCCCTCTGGGGCCTCAGCAGGGTGGGGTGTGGGCTTGTTGGACTCCGGGGTGGGTCAGCTCTGTGCCACCCCTCACTGCCTCCACCCCGCTATCACCCTCAGCTTGTCCCTCTGTGCCACTCCCTGCCTCACCACAGCCCACTAGTCAGAGCTGGCTGACTCCCCTCATCTCAGTCCCCCCCCCCCCCCGCTCCGCCTGGCCCTCTCTCTCTGGTC